TCACTACTTTAGCTTATCACAGTTATTTGCATTCAGTGCATCACCTCTACATCAGCTTATCACAACTTCGTACATCTTTAAGCTCGCCTCTATATTAGCTTCATGCCAGCTGCTTATCTTTATAGACTTGCATCTACTCACAAGTCCATGCATTATATGAATATCCATATATGGACTTGGGTGACTATTGTTATGCTATTTCAACGAAGCTCTAAGCACATCCAAGTGGTAGCTACACAGAAAGTGAACCTAGGCCTTCTCTTTACGTCATTCTGCCCATGTGGCAATTTGGTCGAACCCCCATGGAGAGCTGAACCCTCATGGATAAGGTGAGATAGGTAGATGTTTTTTAGAGAAAATCTTGTATCAAGTGGATGATGTGATAACTCACTAAATAGGTAGCTCTACTTAATCAAACAAGTCAAATCTAGGCTTACATGTCAGGCCTGAGGCTGCCAGCCATCATAACATTAAATGCAGTATGGCCTAGGAATGATTGATTGATGCCTATGACAAGAGGCCCAATCGCTAGGATGTAACCACGTGTCTCTTCATCTAACGAATCTCAATTATCTTTTTCTACTATAAAAGCTCACATTTATTGTCATTTCAAGGTAATGCAAGTTTAGACATTCAACTATAACTTTGCCATATCACTGTTCTATTTATTATTCTCCAAAGAAAACCCCATTTTTATATTGGAGGCTCACATCTAAAATTTTCCCTCACTCATATATTTTCTTTCCCAACAAACTTAATCGTTGGAGTGCGTAGGGCCAACTCTACCCCGTCGAAGGAAGTCATGTATGACTAACAGTTTGTCCAAGTTCGTGGAACAAGGCTTGCGTGGACGTGGGAGATATTGGAATCTGTTGGTCACGTTGGAGGTACATTTTTTGGGACAACAAAATTCATGGAGATAATCAAGGCATTTATGTAGAAAGTTGAAACTTTCATATAAAAACTGACACAAACTATCAAATTCAGCAAACTTAAGTTTAGACACTCAAGAAGCAGGTGTACACTTAGCCAAGATAATGCAAGTAAGAGCCCAAGGGACTTTGCCAATCAACGCTAGTATATATCTGAATGATAAAGTAGATGCCATATCAACTAGAAATGGTGTGACTCTGGTAGAGATAAATATAAAGAGGTTAGTTCCAAAGAACAAGCATGTGACCAACTTAGTTGAGGATGAAGAAGAACAATCCATACCTATAGTTGATGAAGATATTAAGAACAGTGCAGACATTCAACAACCAAGGCACCAGCTTTTGTAAAGGCTTCTATATCTCCTATTCCAAACCCACAAAGATAATAGAAGTATAAGTTGGAGAGTCAATTTGCAAAATTTTGGAATTGTTCAAAAGCTGCATATCAACATACCCTTATCCTAGCCCAGATGCCTAGATATGCCAAATTCATGAAGAAGATTCTCTCCAGCAAAAGGTAGCTAGAGAAAAACGATACAGTCATGCTCACTGATAAGTACAATGCTATTTATTATACAGAATAAGCTACTTCCTAAGCTAAAGGATCTAAAAGGATTCATTATACGCTGCACAATCAATGATTTTACTTTTAATAGAGTATTGTGTGATCTAGGTACAAGTACAAATTTAATATTTCACGAAGTTTGGAGGATAAGTGAAGCTAAAAGTTGTGTCCTTATAACTTGCAACAAGTCCATCAAGTACCCATGAGGAATTATTGAATATTTCTTAGTGAAGTTGACAAATTCATATTTCGAGCTAACTTCATTTTGCTGGAATGGAAAAGGATCGGGACATACAACTGATTTTAGGAAGGTCTTTGGGCTCTCATCGATGTCCATCAGTGGGCAACTAATTTTGGGGTTGAAGATGAACAAGTCAAATTTGATGTACTCGTGACTCTCAAGTATCCAAGAAGACTTTTCGAAATAAAAGAATTTCTTCATCCTAGCCTACCTAAAATGTTCGCTAGAAAAGTCGAGCTCAAGATTGTAAACTGGACGCTTAATGAAAGCAACCCACTTTCTATCTCTTTTATTATTATTATTATTATTTTGCATTTAGTAGTTAATATATTGCATCTAGATAAAATAAAAATAAAAACATAAAAGATATAAAATAAAATATTTATAATAACAATAATTGCATATGCATTAGAATTTAGGAATTTTGTCATTTTTTGTGTCATCAACTAGGTTGCATGAATCGTCGTCCCAAATTTCCCGACTTAGGTCAAAACAGAGATGGAATCACATTTGCAATGCATGTATGTCCTTTCGAATTTTTTCATGCTTGGGCTGAATTTTAGTTTTGGTCTTGATGATTAAAATCAGAGAAACTCTCATCATAGTTTGGAGACCTATCTTAGATAAGGGCCTTTAGTTTTTGATTAGAGTAAGGATCGCGAGAGAGCAAAGCTGATTTATGCATGTAAAACTTAACCAGGATTTTGACCAAAAAATCATGAGTATTCCAACACTCATTAACTTAAGGTGATTGATTAGTTTGGAATTTAGTTGGACATGTACACACCATTCCCAAATTCAAGCATTAAGTCATAAGTTGATGCTTGAAGAATATTATAGGTGGCGAGCACTAGTTCTGCATATAGTTTGACCCGAGATAATAGCAAAATCCTTGTTTGATAGGGATTAAAATTTAGGTTTTAATTTAAGTTAAAGTCAACAATTAATCTAAATCACATGTTCCATAGGATCCACAAATTTTCAACTACACATTTTATTAATTGTTATCAAAATTTACTAAAAATCTAATTTTAATTTCCACCAAACAGTTAGGACCACTTGACACAATTATTTAGGATTAGGACCCCTTGACACAATTATTTAGGACCACTTTGACAAATTTAGCGTTGTACACATTAAGACCACTCGACAAATTTCATTGTTCACACGTTTATTTTGGGAAAAAATGTATTGTTCACATGCATATTTTGAAGGAAAAAAAATGTATTTTGGAATAGTGATTTTTTAGAAAATGTGTAGTTAAAAAATAATAATAAATAAAAAAAATGTTATCGATTTAGGTGTAATGTTATTTTATTGAAAAATGTGCTTTTAAAAATGAATTTTTGTAATAATGAGATTCAAACAAGGGCTTAATAAAGGTACAACAAATTCAACTTCTGTTTGATACACATTATCTCAAAATGCATTCTTTCAAACTTTTCAACCACACATTTTTCAATAAAATAATATTTTTCATCGTACCAATAACCACTGGCGGACCCACATGGGATCATGTGGGGTCAAATGACCCCAAAAATATTTTTTTTTTTTTTTTGAGTTTTCCTCTTTGAGTTTTTTTTTTTACCTAAACATTTTTTAATTCTCATTTTTGACTCACAAGAAAAATGGTCTTGGTCCGCCCCTGCCAATAACTTTTCTTACTTTTTAACCACATATATCTCATCATATCACTATTTAACATACATTTTTTCCTCAATAATATCAATCAAACACCCCCTCAATATTGTACATAGTGTTCACATGCTAAAATATTTTGTTCCAATATTGAACTTTTTCTCTATAAAATAGGCATACCATTTTTGCCAACGAACCCCTGTGCTATCACATTTATGTGTTATAGAATTCGAATCACTTTATATAAAAGGAAAATTGTACTATTTTCTTAATAGCAAGTTGGTCTTCAATTTTATTTTATTATTTTTAATTTTTTTTTTTTTTTTTGAGAGAAGCAAGTTGGTTCACAACCTTTTATTTTTATTGTGTGATCAGTCTTACGAAAATTCCCAAATCTTATTTTATAAAAATATATCCCACTTTAATTATTTAGACACTAGTATAAATTAAAAACTAAAATCTAACCTGACACAATGATACACATTAGGACCACTTGCACCCATATTTCATTGCAGTGGCGGACCCAGAGCAAAAGTTCAGCTCGGGCAGACAGTCACCACTGACCGTCGACAATTAATTATCGTAAGAGCAATGTCGTTTATTAATATTTAATTAAATAATATTAAAAATTATTCAATATATATGGAAATGCAATAAAATTGAAATAGAAAACAGCAAAATGGTCGGGTCA